CCCACCGACTTCACACATCTTGTCATATATTGGGCTGTCAGAAAAGTCATGGTGAATTTGTTTTTCAAGCAAAAATGTGTCATGACTTTTTTATTGGGTCTGACAACCCAATAGTTCTGCTCTCGCAGTCTAGTTTGTTTGGTTCAAACACTCTGGGGAGTTCAAGCCACAGGAAGTGGAAACCTGTATCTAGACAAAGTCTGTCTCCCCCAGATTCTCTGTGTGACCCCCTTCTCTCCTGGCTGGTCCGTCCCCCCCTTCCCCCCCACCCCCCCTCCCAGGCGCTCAGCTCCTTGCTGTTTCCATCTCTTCTCCAGGCTTCCTCCTCTTTGCCCTTTCACTGGGCTTCCTGGGCTTCTGCCTAGTCTTCCTGTCTGGACACGCTCTCTCTGCACCCCCATTCCTGATGCACCAAGTGCACATCTCTAAGCAAACCTCCACGGAGGCTCCCCGAGTCTCCCCTCTCCTTTCTCACCCAAGCCGCTGCCACTACCTGTCCCAGACTTTCTCTAATTCCCTTCCCTTGCGGGCGGGAGTAGCTAGGGAAACTGCAGGGCCCACGCTCACCCCTAAACAGCAGACCCCCTGCCCTGAAGAAAAGACACAGGCACAAAGGGAAATCTCAGCTGTGGTTTGCAGATGGGGGTTCCGCCCCCAGCAGTGGGCCCCAAACTCATTTTAGAGGATTGTAATGAAAAAGAGCAAAAGAGGGAAAACAGAGGGCGTGTCACCTGTCGTGAGGATGCATGTTGTCTGGTGACACTTCGGTTTCCTTGTTTCTGTGTACATGTTTGGTTCAAATCTCAGTGCCAACTATTTTTACTGTAAGTTGCAGTCAAAAAATGTTTGAAATTTCTGAACTACCAGACAACCAACCAGAACACTGAAAACAAGTTACTGAAAGTGAGGGGGGTGCCCGGGAGGGGGTGCCCTCCCCAGTGGCGAAATGGGTTAGAACACAGCACTACAAAGCTGTCTGCAGCCACTGCATCACGAGACGGATCCCGGCCAGGAAGCTGACCCACATGGCACAGCAGACCTCTCCTGTCTCCCTAATGCTCTTTTCAGCAGTGGATTTCAGCCCATCTGCCTGTTCTGCTCCCCACTCTGTCTCTGGGGAATCCTCTCAACACCCCTGCATCTCTGGCCTGTACAGATGTTCTATGTGCATAAGTAAATGTTTAAAAAAAAAGTGAAGGGGACCCTTAAGGAGATTTGCATTATTATGGGTGCTCAGAGGCTCTGGTTCCCCACTTCAAGGGCTCCAGGTGAGCCCATCTGGGGGAGGGGGCAGGGCGAAGGGACGCGCCCAGGGAAGGTGTGTAGAAACTGCCCAGCGTCACATCCAGCTCTCCAACTCAACGTGTACATAAATCAAGCACTGGAATCTGAACTCGTTGTAATCGGTGTCAAAAGAAAACACAGGAGGGACAGGATCTGCAAGAGAATTTTCCACGCCTGCTCCTTCTCCACCCCATAAAAACATAACCCAGGGGACGGTCCGATGAAACGGGGTCCAGCCGAAGTCTGGAGATCCATCAGCTTCTTCTGTTGGCTCCCAGTTGCTACCAGCTGACGAGCACAGGGCACTCTGGCCCGTGGGGAGGTGGCCGGCGCCCGCACGCCCTCACTGGCAGACTTTGCCCGCTCTTGCAGTTACTGGCAATAAAAGGTGAGCACGTTTTCCTGGTTTCCTCGGATCAGGATGACCGGCGGGCTGAGGTCCTGGGACAGCGTCTCCAGCCAGGCCATGTACAGCGAGCTCGGACACTTCCCCTTCCTCCCGATGGGCAAGGTGCTGCGAGGCAGGAAGAAGCAGCAGGACAGCTGTTACCAGGGCGCCACGCAGCCCAGCTCCTGCTTTGGCGTCTGCTTACGGTCCCCGTCACAGCCCCTCCTTCCCAGCCATCCTCAGAACGACCGTCTGCTCTTCTTAAAGCACACTAAAATGTCCCCTCAGCTCTAAGCCCCCGAGTTTGGTGCCCAGGAGGGTGTCCAACCTCACCTCCCATCAACCGCAGCCTAGCTCACACTTCCATCTCCGTGTGGCCTTCTTTCCATTCTTGAGAAAACATGGCGGGCGCACGCCTGCCTCAGGGCCTTTGCATGGGATGTGTCCGGCCCTCTGCAGAACACTGGCGGGCTCACTTAAGTTACGCAGCCGTCTCACCTCGTGCACAACTCCTTGCTCCGTCCTCGGAGCACCGACACTCCTATTCCTTCATTTGCTTATTTGTCATCTGTTTCTCCCCACTAGAATGTTTATCGCGCACCCATGGGCTGGGTTTGTCCTGCTCACTGCCCTTTCTCGTGTGCCCAGAACATGGCCCCCACACAGCTGGGCCCCATAGGTCACACCAGACCCCACTGCGCGCCCCAGGGTCCCTGTCTGAACTGTAGTGCTATGCAAATGACACCTTAGGAGCCATGCAGCTGCGTTTTCATGGTTATTTCAGGAAGTGACTTTCTATCCACTTGAGGTTCCAGAAATGCACCGGGTTGGCCACACTGCCAGGCCCTTGGGGACGGCAGTGTCTTAGAGACCAGCGAGTGTCACCTGTAGTGAGTGGGGGCGCTGGCACCCTCTGAGGACTGCACTTTACAGGGCTTTTTTTTCCCCAAACAATACCCTCAGCATTGTTTCATCCAAACCCCAAGACAGCCCTGGAGACTGGCACCACTCTGCCCTCTCTCCGGCCGAGGGAGGCAGCAGAAAGGGGACGCGGTGTGACGTCGCTTCAGGTCCCGGCAATGCCGCTACCTGGGCCACGGCCTCAGTTTTCGTTTCCTTAAAGTGAGGACACATAAGCCTCCCTCTGGGGATGGTTGTGAGTTCTTAAGAAGACAGAGTGCCCAGGGCACCCTGAGGCCGCCACATGGAAGTGACTGCTCTTCAACAGCTGTGGTCCTCACTGATCAGCCCGAAGCCACCACCCAGGACACCCTGGCTGGGCTGGAGCTTGGGCCCTGGGGTGATCCCAGCAGCTGCTGTCTGCACTGCGGCCCCCCGCTCCACTGAGAAGGGACCCAGGCCTCCAGAATTGCCCCCTGGGCCCTCCCTGGTGGCAGAACAGGTTAAAGCACAGCACTACGAAGCTGTCTGCAGCCCTTCAGCACGAGTTTGGTCCCTGGACGGGGAGTGACCCACAGGGTGCGGCAGACCTCTCCTGTCTCCCTGCTGCTCCCCTCAGCAGTGTGCTTTGTCAGACTTCTTGTTCTGCTCCCTGCTCTGTCTCTCACCCCCTGCACCTCTGGCCTGTACCCCAGGTCTGTATGCATAGATAAGTACATCTTTAGTGATAATAATAATAAAAGAATTGTCCCTCTCCTTAAAATTCCATCACTTGGGACAACCATTATCTGCCTTTAAAAAGCAAGGCCCTGGGGCCTCCCTGGTGGCACAAGGGGTTAAGTCTCAGCATTACGAAGCTGTCCCAGCCACTGCAGCACCCCAACCAGGGAGCTGACCCACATGGGGCAGCAGACCTCTCCTGCCTCCCCCTTCCCCCCTCAGCAGTGTATTTCAGTCCATCTGCCTGTTCTGCTCCCCACTCCGTCTCTGGGAAATCCTCTCACCCCCCGCACTTTGGGCCTATTCCTCAGTTTTTATATGCACAAATAAATAAATCTTAAAATAAAAAGAAGGCAAGGTTCCCTGCACTCGGGGGAGCAGTGGGAAAGGACTGGTATTAAGCTCACGCCACCTCAGCCAGAAAGCGTTGGTGTTTGCTCACCCTCAAGGGGGAAGGGAAGTGGGAAGCTGGAACCAAATCTTGCTGACTTAACAGCTACGCCAGAGGCCTACATGGAGCAGGCCCCCTGGTGCCTGCTTCAGGCCGGCTGGGGTGGAATGTGGACGCTTCAAAGGCCCCAGAGGATGGCAGCTGTTCTGGCAGGGCCAGACCTTCCAGCTTCGGGTGAAGTTCCAGGGACCTACCCCCCCAGAACACTCACCAGGCCCTGGGAGACTTTCTACCCCAGCTCACGGGCTGTTCAAGCTTAAGCTACTTATCTTTAGAAATAAAGCTGCTTCCTAACAAAGAAACGATTTTGTTCAGAATTGCATCTCTTAGCCACAAAGAAAGGCGGCGTTGGAGCTAAGCTGGGTAGGGAACAACAGCCCTGTAGCAGAACCATCTCCTAGACCTCCAGACTGACCCCTCTTCTCAGCAGTGAGGCCCCGGGCAAGTCGCTGAACTCCCACGAGACTCAGTTTCCCTGGGGAGACTCAGTTTCCCCGTCCCCAACGTGTGTCTGTCCCGGGAGAAGGCAGAGGTAACACAGAACCACCTAGTGTCTGGAGAGTGACGAAGGCCCCAAGCCGGTCACAGAGGCTCCGTCAGGAAAAGGGTACGCTCACCCTGGCGTCCTCACCCGGGGTGGTAAGTGTGGTGCGGAGGTGACTGTTGTATTTGGATTCAATGAGGAGTCTTTTCAGAAAAAAGAAGAGTCTGGGCCTGAAGATTAGACCAGGGACAGGTGTGGGTCTTGTCAAGGCTGCTGCGCTGGCCACTGAGCTGGCTGACGTCTGCGAGCTCAGCTGGTCGTGAACAAGTACACGAAGCAGCTGTGGTCTTGGGTAAACCCCCAGGGCTGCGCTGCCAGCCCCGGGGCCTGCCCCCAAATCCCCCAGATGCCATGTGGTGTGGCTTTGCCATTTTGCTCAGGTTTGGGCAAATTCCTCAGTATTCCTGGGGAATGCAGGTTTCTGGGCCCAAGCCCTGTGTTCTGGAAAGAATAGAGATATTTGCCACTTTCCATGGTCACCTGGTGGATCTGATGCAGGAGTCCCTTGGAGGGAACTTTTGGAAGGACCCGGCTGGATAGCAAAGGCAGTTGCTGTCCCCTCCCACGGCAGCAGGCCCTGCTGGTAATTGCTGTAGCTGCCCCCTTGGGTAGGCCACCAGTTCTGGAGTCTTCTCTAACTAAGGTGCCTGGATCTCCAGGGTTGATAGCAGCTGATCCCACAGAGGCTGTGGGGGTCCCCTCCTCTGGAAGTGGGGGCTGCGTGGGGGAGGGGAGCAATGCCAGCAGGTGGTGATCTCCAGGGTGAAACGCTTCATCTTAGGGCTTGACAGACTCACTCCTTTTCATGGCAAATAAACTTGGAATCATAAATTATTGGAGTCAAAGAGTCTTGAAAATAATGTCTCTGAGTCTTCTCTAGAGTCAGGGGAATGAAGGACAGAGAGGTGGGGTCACTTGCCCTAGGCCACAGGTGGGTTAATGGCGGAGACCAATGCCAGCCTGCCTCTCTGAACAGACGGGTTATCATGAGCACCTGGTTTGGCACCCACACGTGCCCCAGAGGCACAAGCCAGCTACCACCCTCAAGGAAAGATCTGGGGAGACGCCCTCGCCTGGAGAAACCTCCCCACTGGCCTTGGACTCTGACCTAGTCCACGACCCGGCCAGCCTCACCCTAAGCAACATACTGAAGGTCCCTATATCAAAAGAGCTGCTGAGCATTTTCTGTTTGCAAAAAATGGTCTCCCTCAGAGCCCCGGGACGGGAAGCCTTGATCGGGGCCCAGCCAGCTCCACGGGCCTCAGTGACATCACCCCTCCACATGTAACTGGGTCCCTGCCGGGGTCAGCACTGCTGCAATGACCATGACATTCTTCACAATTTCTCCACAAGGGACTCCACAACTCCAGTTTTCAAAGGCCCTGAAAGTGACGTGTGCGCATGCTTCAGGGTATGACCAAACAGGTTCTTCTTGGTTGCCCTGCAAATTCCCGGACAGCTAGGCTTGCAGGGAACAGAAGCAAGGCCACTTGTTTGCCTGGGCCAGCAAGCTCCCTCATTCTGCCTGAGCTGGGCCCCCCTCTGTGGGGTGTCAGGGGCTAGGCTGACCATGGCCTTCCTCCTCCTGGTGTCTGAGAAGGACCCTGGGACCGGCCCCGAGCCACTGTGGCCTTCCTCTCAGCCGGCCTTGGCCTGTTCCTGCCGGCTACGGCGCTTGTAACTGGACAGGAGTGCAGGCAGCCCTGGGAGCCTGGGAACAGCGGGACTGGGCAGGGCTACCTCTGCTGCCCAGGCTTGGCACCAGCATCGCTTGAGGGTGGCGGATGGCCATAAAGGGCTGGGAGATTCCAAACAACCGGAAGTGGATTTTCTTCTGGGACGAGCTGGGTCCCCTTTGCCAAGCTCCGTTTGGCAGGGGAAGGTGACGAACCAGAAACGAGCAGCAATGAGAGGAGCCGTGAGACGGGACACTTCCGGGCCTGCAGCCCAGCAGTGGCTCTCAGGCGAGAGTCAAGGGGCAGGCGCAGGCCCGGACATGTGCCGAGAGGCTTCCTGGGCCAGTTACGGGCGCTGTGGCTGCCGGGGCTCCGGCTCAAGGCTCAAGGCCCAGCTAGCTCCCATGCCCCATCCAGAGTGGACACTCCAGGCCTTGGCGACAGCCCCCAGGCTACTTACATGACCACGAGGGCAGCGTCCCGGGAGTAGTCCAGCAGGATTTCGTTCAGTCTCACCTGCCGGAGGGACTGGGCGACAATACCACCTGGTCACTCTCGCGTCCTGGTGAGTGAGCCCCCCAACTAGCCCTGGGGCCCTGCCAACATTCAAGTTGGGCGCCTGAATTATTGAGGAGGAGGGCACCCTGCCCTCCTCGAGAAGTCTCCTTGGATTTTCCTTGCCTGCCCTGCTGACCATGGCCACCCCTAACCAGGTTGGGGAGAGGCCACTTTGCTTGGCATCGAGAGCTGGCTTAGGGCTCAGCCCCGGGAGCTCACAGCAGCGAGAACTCGACTAGGTCTCGCTGCCCCCCTCAGCTTGTGGGGAGCTCCCTCCCACCCCAGGTTTCCACACTTGTTCAGACATGACTGGCACTCGGGGGGTGACCGCGGGTGGAACCGATTCTCCACCGCCACGGCTGACATTTTCGGGGGGATGTGCTTCGTCATGGGAACCGTCCGGGGGGCTGGGAACTGTCCAAGTTCAACAGCAGCGTCCCCGGCCTCTGCTCACTCAGGGACAGTGGCAACTTCTCTCCCCAGTGGTGACAGCCCAAAGAGTCTCCAGAGGTTCCCGGATGTCCTCTGAGGGCACAGTGACCCTGAGGAGTGGAGGGGGCCACTGGCCGGAGCGCACAGGACGGTGGGGCCCCCCTTAAATGACCACAGTGGCCACCATGCTGCTGTCACCCTCCTTTGAGTCTTGCAGAAGTGTCTGGAAGTGGGGGGGGTATCTGTGGCTTGTGGCTGCGCTTGGTGGGAGCGAGAGGTCCAGGGGAGAGGTCAGCCAGCTTTGTCGGCCACTGGACAAATTCCACCTTGACCTTCAGCACTGTCTGTGAATCCTTCCCCAGGGCAAAATGAAACTGGCCACCTGCTTCCCAGCCTTTGTGGCTTGAGGACACCCAGAGGGTGGTGGGGTGGGGGAGGGACGTCGGGAAGCTGGACGGACTGTGGGGGCTCTCCCGCACCTTCACCCTGTTCTTGTTCATCTCCTCGTCTGAGATCTTCCAAGGGCAGTCCCTCCTCATCTCCGCCACGGTGGCCTCGTCCCGAAAGCCGTCGTTCAGGAGGAAGGGGGCGATCATGTCCTCGAACCGCTTGGTGCTAGGGAAGAGAGGGCAGGGGAGGTGGGGTGCGCGGGCTGGGTGGGGA